GACCTGGAGCCCAAGCCCTACGGTTCAAGATTTTAAGGAGTTCCCAGCAGCTCCACCCCACCCCACCATCTTTCCAGTGACAATCCCAGGAATTACATTTCCACCTCCTTTTTCCTCACTGTAGTGGAAGGGAGACTTCAGAGAGGAGTAGATGAAAGTTGATGGCCCCATTGTTATGAATTAGTCCTTTTGGTGATATCCACATTCAATCCCCTTTGAAGTTGTACCAAAGGAAGTAAGGGCCATAAAACCCCTTTATTCACCCCCCTTCCCCTTCATCGTATGACAGAATCCAGAGAGGGCAGAAATGGGGTTTTCCATAGTCGATAACTAGAGATGAAATATAATTGGATTCTGACAGATACTTAATAGTGCATATTATGGCTAAGAATGTTGGCTGTACCCAGTTAAAGCAAAAAAGCCAAAGGAATCTATTTTCTTCAGCTGTCAAAACTATGAAGATCACCTCCTTGCATTAAGATCTATAACTTTCTTCTTTAAGAGAAATGAGAGTCTCCAACAAAGGAAATAACAGCACCAAGGCAATGTTGTGATTTTTGTTACTGCAGAAGTCAATAGATGCATTTTAAAGCTAAATGAATTTCAAAGTTGCTTTCCAGTATCCAGGTATGCTTCTATAACATTCCTAGCCCCCTAAAATTCACTCCTTTTGCATGTCTTTTGCTGTGCCTCAAGTGCATTGATTTGTGCTGAATCAGGAAAGGTTCTTCTTGAAAAACGTCTCAGCTTCGTTAGATCTCTTACTGACTAAAACTTCACCAACAGTTTGCTAGCTTTATTAATTCTTCACAATGCAAGACAAAGGTCTGCAGTCTCTTTTCCCAGTTTCTGTTGTGTGTATGTCTAGAGATAACCAGAGTAGAAATCTACCAGCAAATTTTTGCAGATGGATCTGGGATATTCTCACCAGCCAGTTCTTAACTGGAACTCACATGTGCCTGCCACACATCATTTTAATCTTACCTGTGCAACATATCACAGAACTTTTGTGCCTGGTCAGGCTCAACTTCTTCCTTACAGTAATACTAGAGGATGGAAGAGTTCCTTTTGTACCGAGAATCTTTCCTTGCAATTTGAATGAGTCTGAAATTCTTGCCTACATTTCTTTCTATTGTTCCTGAGACGATAACATGCACTCTATTCTTTTAATACCCCTCATTAATAAAATTCAATTTCACCTGGAGGTAGATCCTTCCTTCATGGTCAGAATTTAACTGTCGTGAATGATGTACCAAAACAGAAGGAAAATACTGGCTTTACCACAATGCTCTTAATAGCAATAGGTATAGATACTTTGTTACCAGTTCTCTTTACTCTATAGTTTTATCTTTAGTTTTACCTTTTCTTTTTAGGCTATTATTTTTATCTGTAAGATATTTGTGTACTTTATTACTTTTTCTTTTTTGTTTTTAACTTGCTGGTCATAAATCATATTTATTATTATTAAATAAATGAAAATTGTCTTCATTGTGAAATAAAGTTTTATCTCTTCTAATCCTTATTTTAAAAATGATCTCAAGGAGTTGCATTAATTCTTCATTATGCAACAAAAATCCTACGTGTCAAATACATCTTTGTAGATGGGTTTCAAATCAGTAAATTGCTTCTCTCTAGCAATTTCCCCATACACATATACATCTCAAATAACTGCCATAGCTCACAATTTAGAAGAATACAAGAACATTTGGGAGATTTTGTTTTAAAAGTCATTTTACTACAGTGGTTAAGGTGCATGTCTACAAACCAGATGATAACCTAGTCCAGCCTTAAGCATGAAAGCTGACTGGGTGACTTTGGACTAGTCGCTCACTCTCAGCATGGTCACAGAAATGTTGTTGTGGGGAAAACGGGAGGACAAAGGAGTATTAGTTATGTTTTCAACTTGAATTATTTCTAAAACTAATAAAGGTAGGATATAAACCAAATAGAGCTGGGAGAGATTCAGCTGGAGCTGCAGTATTGCCAGGGCTCTGCTGAGGGCCCAGGATCGGTGTGCGCAGATCCAGCTGATTGGCGCTTCCAGCGGCTTGGGGGTGGCTGGCAGCTGCACACAGTCTTCAGGCGGAGATTCAGCTGGAGCTGCGGTGTTGCTGGGGCTCTGCTAAGAGCCCTGGATTGGCGTGTACAGCTCTAGCTTATTGGTGCTTCAGGCAGCCTCTTCTATCACCGGGAGCAGCAGATAGACCTTGGGGTGAGAGAGTCAGCTGGAGCTGCTGGGGTGAGGCAGAGGCCCCAGGATTGGTACACCAATCAGCGCTTCTAGCACACCCAGAAGAGAAGAGGAGGAGGGGGAGATAGGAGAGGGTATAAAAGGAGGTGGTTTTGGTGAGATAGGGAGAGGGAAAAAAAGATGGGGAAAGAGAAGGGGATGGAAAAAGAGAGAGGGAGAAGAGGCTGTGGAAGGAGAGCCCAGCAGGCAGTAAGGAGAAAGAGAGAGAAGAGGGAAAGAGGAAGAAGGGCTGACCAGCCAGCTGACCACCAAGGTAGTGATGCATATTAATAAATATGGATAAATTTGTCATATGTTCATCAGTGCAATAGGAAATTGATTCAGCAAAAGAACTGCCACCAAAGAAATTAAAACCGGTATTTTTCTTTTCTTTTTTTTACAGTTTGTAACGTTTTATTATAGAATAAAATACAAAAGCAAATAGTAGGACACAGTGAGGAAAAAAGGAAAGAAAAATGAGGGGGAGAAGGGAAAAAGAAAAGGCATTGACTTCCTACTGTTGCAGTAGAATGAATCATTAACATTGAACCTCAGTTTAAACTAGCCATTTCTGTAACAAGAAATCAAGCTAATCAGTAAAACACAAAATCCCCCCCCCCCTTTGTTAGTCATCAAGTTTTTGACACCTTGCTAAGCACTGGTAACACTTGAATATTGTCATGTCCTAAAAATGGTACAATCTGTGAAAAGGTTGAAAAACCCTGTCCTAATGGACAATCAATTAAACATGAGAAACCAAAAAAGCTGGAAGAAACCAAAAAAGCTAATACAATCTTTGGTTGTATAAACAGAGGCATAGAATCAAAATCACATGAAGTATTAGTACCGCTTTAAAAATCCTTAGTAAGACCACACTGGAATACTGCAATAAATTTTGGTCACCATACTACAAATAAATGTTGAGATTTTGGAAAAAGTTCAGAAAAGAGCAACTAAAATTATCAAAGGTCTGGAGACTAAAACATATGAAGAACGGCTGCAGGACTTGGGTTTGGCTAGTCTAAAGAAAAGAAACAGAGGAGACATGATAGCAGTATTCCAGTATTTGAGGGGCTGCCACAAAGAAGAGGGCATCAAACTATTCTCCAAAGCATCAGAGGGCAGGACAAGAAACAATGGTTGGAAACTGATCAAAGAGAGAAGTAACCTGGAATTAAGGAGAAATTTCCTAACAGTGTGGATAATTAACCAGTGGAACAGCTTGTCTTCAGAAGTTGTGGGTGCTTCATCACTGGATGTTTTTAAGAAGAGACTGGACAGTCACTTGTCTGAAATGGTATAGGGTCTCCTTCTTGAATAGGGGATTGGACTAGAAGACCTCCAAGGTCCCTTCCAGCTCTATTTTGATTGATATATAGAAAATGAAGTCTGATTCAAGGACACATCACTTACAGGACACTAATTTATACAACTGGATATTGGTAATTGCTTTCTGGGCCTTTCAAAATGCAATTTCAAAATTGAAATCAAATGCAATAATGGCACATTTAGAAATATATACAATTATTTGAATAAATAATTATAAGAATTGGTATAGACCATTTTAATCAGGAATGCAGTATTATGTATTACTCTTAAATGAAAAGCTAATATTTCCAATAGCTAAAATTAGAAACTTATAAACAGTTTATAATCTTTTATTTTGATGTAAATATTTTCTTCATTAAAATTGGGAATGCATTTATTATGTAGTTTGATGTTTACTTTTCCCTCCATTTTCTTAAGAAAGCATTAGTTCTAGGATTAATTGAACAATTCATATTAGAAAAACAAACATTTAAATCTTATTTTAAAATATGATAAACAGGAGGTTCATAGCTTGATGTTTGGTCCCATCTGCTTCAACTGGACTTAATTTGAAGCATGATTGCTGCCTCAGCAAAATGAAGACTATAAACTAATTTAAAATTCATACTTATGATAATAAATGTGTACATTCCACAAGGATTTCCTGTTTCTAATTTAAGGATAACATCCTTTTCACATAGCAATACCAGATATTTTGAGTTGCAATCAGGCTTCCACAATGTTGGTCTTTCTTGTTTAACAAGACAGAAAAATATCAGGTTTTGGGAAGAACTGACCACTGTAGAAAGAAAAGCACGAAAGTCATTGCTCGTTTCTTTCTTGAGAAGAAACAAAATGCAACAATGCAACAGCTAACCACCGGAAATGCATAAAAAGAGGGGGGGGGAATTTAAGACAAGCAGTTGGAGCTCTCTTGAGGGGATGCAAAAGTTTCGCTTTTAAATCTATCTTCCCTTTTTATAGCTAATTATTCCCTTATCCGAACTCTACGGATAATTTATTGAGAGCAATTACAGTAAACAGATAATAGGGATTCTAAATGTGCCCCATATCCCAATTCAATCACACTCGTAGATGCTTCACATTAAATGGATGCTTCTACTTCAAGTCAGAAAACACCGGAAAAGGAGTCTTTTTCCTAATCCTCAACCAGCTTCCTTTTCCTCCTTGTCCTTGGAGGCTTCTTAATCCACATTCATGAGAATTAGGCGTAGCTCCAGAAGGGACTGGAATGCGTAAGTCACTGCCGCGGGGTACAATAACATTTATACACATACGTATTTCCTCCATCACACTTAAAACGTTGCGTCTACCTTCAACCTGCCCGCTCCGAACTGGTCTTTTCCTCGTTCCAGGGAGTTTTACATTGCCCTTATGTTATGAGACTAACACAGAAGACAGAAGTGTATTATTAAAGCACAGAAATCCGAAGCTTTCTTACCTTTCTCCCTATAGTTCTTTTCCCTCTGTCGCTCTGTCCACGCCACGACAACTTTATCAAGGTAACAGCCCCAATTACCTCCGTGACTACAAACAGCACGTTTCGCGGGCCTCTCCCTCTCGTCCGTTACAGTGGAAGCGAATCCGGCTACATTAGGAGGCAAGGCCCTCCTGGGAACTGGCGAGCGGTCGGCGAATGCCCAGCGACTTCACTGATGTCATTGGGGGAAAACGCAGGAGGGAGGGCCGTCAAAGTGGTTACAAAGAAGGAAGAGGCGGAGGGAAGCCGAGAAGGGGCTGTGAGGGTTCATTTGAATGGGTACAGGCCATAAACAAAGCTTTGGTTAGTTCCCCTATCAGGCATGTTTTACAGTACTTTCCAGAATGTGAGAAGGGGAAATTATTTCCTATTTTTATCCTGATTTACATCATCCTATCTCTATATTGCTTATCTCCTTGCTTTAGACCCTGGATGGGACCTGGGAAAACATAGTTATGAGGACTTGCAAAATTTGCATTTTCTGAACCAAATACCCTTACATAGCCTCTTTCTTTTCTTTCTCTCTCATGGAGCTATGGCGAATGTTGGAAAGCGAAATTTCCTTTGTATCGACCTCTGGTTAAACAAATAGGTTTACATAGAAGTAAGATTTATGCTTTCTCTGAAAAATATGTTTCTCAAAAGTAAGTAGGACAGGGGTGTCAAACTCAATTTCACTGAGGGCCGCATCAGCATTGCTGTTGCCCTGGGGTGGGGTGGGGGGGTGGCCAGGGTGGGTGCGGCCTACTGGGTGGGCATGGATGGAGCAGGTGTGGCCTACTGGGCGGGTGTGGTTTCAGCAGGCAGCGGGGCGCTCTCATAGCGCCGAGAGGTTGAGCTGGGCGGTGTGAAGCTCGCCAACTTTGCACCTTGCTACCTGCTGAAACTGGGCAGGCTGGGGGCTAGGCAGCATTGCACTTCTCATCAGATTCACCACCCAGCTCAGCTCTTGGTGCTGTAAGGAAAGCACCCCAGTGCCTGCTGAAACTGGGCAGGCTGGGAGCTGGGTGGCCTTGCGTTTCTTTTTGGATTTGCGCTGCCCGGCTCAGCCTCTCGGCACTGTGAGGAGAGCGTCCCACTGCCTGCTGAAGCCTCTCCCCCAGAGCCCATCAAGCCAGATATGTGAAGTAGGCGAGGGCCATTTGCTGGCACTTCCAGGCAATGGTGCATTTCTTCATTCTTCATAAAGCAGTGGTTCTCAACCTGTGGGTTGGGACCCCATTTGGGGTCGAACAACCATTTCATGGGGGTCGCCAAACAACGCAGTCCATTTTTACCCCCTTTTTCTTAGCTGTGCTACTCCCTTTTATTCTATTGGCTTTTGAAAGCCAATAGAATAGACTCTCTTGAATAGAGTCTAATTCTATTGGCTTTCAAAAGCCAATAGGAATTGTCCAGGCTGTCTCTGCCCTGCTGAGCCCACCAAAAGTCGCATTTTTCAAACGGTGCTGCACCAGTTGAGTAGTCCTCGACTTACGACCGGTGAGTAGTCCTCGACTTACGACCAGTTGGGGTCGCGGCATTAAAAAGGTTGAGAACCCTTTTTTTTTTTTTCAATAAGAATCTTTCTTCTTGGAACTTAAGAAAATGGCTTCAAAACGTCTGCCTCCCGCCCCTAAAGTTCCTATTTCTTCTCCAATGCCTCAGCCTGCTTCTCAGAAACCAAAATCACCTCCACCTTCTCCTCCTCCTCCTGCAATTTCTCTTAATGATTTACAAGATGCTTTAAAACAGCATGCCCTGGATATTAAGGAGGAGGTAAAAGATCTTATAATTGCAGAGAGGACTAATACAGAAGAATTATTGGAGAAAAAGAACAAACAAGTAAGAGACCATATACTTCTGGCCTTTCAGGGCTTAGCCCTGCATATAGAGAGGATTGATGACCAGATGGAAAAGATTACTGAAAATGCAGCAAGAATGGAATTTAGGATGCAGGAGGTAGAGAACAAGATAGAAATTACACAGGATGAACAAATCATTTCACAATATAGGGAGATGGAATATGCATTGCGTATCAGGGGTCTGAGAGAGAACTCTCAGGAGGACTTAAAGATGCTCATTGTGAAAGATATTGCTCCTAATATTGGCTGGCGGCCTGAAATAATTGAGAATGAGATAGAAAAATTTTTTAGAGTTAATTCACGGCTTGCTAGACAGAGAAATTTACCAAGAGATGTGGTTATTTATTTTTCTAGAAGATCTATTCGTAATGAAATTATACAGGCTTTTTACAAACAAAAGTTTCAAATTTCTGATCAAGATGTGATAATTTTAAAAGAGATACCTCCAAAAATTTTAAGAGCTAGAAAAGATTTTACTTTTTTGTCTGATGAGCTAAAACTTCATCAAATTCAGTTCAGATGGGAGATTCCAAGAGGAATAATAGTAAATTATGAAGGGATACATCACAGATTAACTTCTGTTTCCAAGGCAAGAGATTTTTATCAGTCTATCTTAAAAGCAAGATTGTCACCACCCCCACAAATAAGGATAACGGAAGAGTCTCTTATGGCAGGAGCTTCATCAATGATGGTTATGGAACAAGCTGCACAGAATTCTGACATAAAAGAGCAAAGGATGATACGAGCCACCCATAAACGTAAAGAAAAAGAGCAGTTGCAGAAGAGTGGTGAAAGTATGGTTGTTACATAGCCTGTGGGAGGGGCAAGACCAAAAAGATCTTCGACAGCAGATCTGCAGGCCATGCTCCAGAGGCTCCAGGCCGGTGGAGATGGTCAGGTTCCTGACCTGGAATGTTAATGGCTTAAATGTGCCACAGAAACGAAGAAAGATTTTCCATTATTTGAAACAACATAATAATGATTTGATATGTTTGCAGGAAACTCATATAACTTTAAAGGATTCTAAATTCTTGATGAATTCCTGTCTGGACTCACATTTTACTGCTCCAGCTCCAGGGAAAAAAGGGGGAGCGGTAATTTATGTGAAGAAAACTTTTTCAGCTAAACTAATTGAGGCTGATTCTGAAGGAAGATATCTTTTTGTGGAACTATTATTACAAGGCCGAAAAGTTCTTATTGTTGGACTATATGCTCCAAATCAACAACAGAAACAATTTTATAAGTTGCTGCATGGCAAGATATATCAGTTGGATTATAAATCGGTAATTTTGATGGGTGATTGGAATGGGTTTTAGACCCAACTATAGACAAAAGAAGTTCCTCTAAAACTTTTATTCAAACTAAACTACCTATGACTGTCTTTGATTTGAAGGAAGAACTGGAGCTTATTGATATTTGGCGAGAAAGGAACATAAGTGACAGAGACTTTACTTTTTATTCTGATAGACACCAGTCATTTTCAAGGATTTATTTTTTTCTGATTACTAGTGACTTCCTCCCAAGAGTGAGGAAGGTGAAAATTTTTCCCAGAACATTGTCAGACCATAGTCCTGTGTGGATGGAGTTATATTCAGAAGATGGGAATAGAAGATCTTGGAGACTGAATGAGAACTTGTTTAATCGGGAGGAGTTTGTACAAAAGTGTAAAGAACATTTAAAGGATTTTTTTGCTATAAATATGAATAAGGGAACATCGATGTCTATGGTGTGGGATGCTAGTAAAGCATATATGAGGGGAATTCTGATCAATTGAATAAAGTTTTTAGGGAAAAAGGGTCACAAAGACGTAGAGAAATAGAAGAAGAGATCAAATCAAAAGAACAAGAGTTGGTTCTTAACCCTACTGATAATAATTTAAAGGTATCCATAAAGATGCTTAAGGAACAATTTAACATGTTGATGGCAGATCAGGTGGCTACCAATCTGTTGTATATGAGACATAATACTTTTTGCAATGCGAATAAGCCTGGGAGGTGGTTGGCCTATCAGTTACGAAAGAAACAGAAAGCTAGAATCATAGAGAAAGTAAAGTATAAAGGTACTGAGGTTTTTCAGCAAGACCTGATTAGAAAAAGCTTTTTGGATTTTTACACAAAATTATATTCAAGTGATAATATAAGGGGTTTGGATATAGATAAATATTTACAATCAGTATATTTTCCCAAACTTTCAGAGGAACAACAAAATGGGATGAATAGTTTAATTACTGTGGAGGAAATTGGTTTAGCTATTAAGCAGTTAAAGGCTGGAAAGTCTCCTGGAACAGATGGACTGACTTCGAGGTATTATAAGATCTTATCTGAAGAAATGATAGAGCCATTAAAGGAACTCTTTAATAGTATTTTGTTGGGTATGCAAGTTCCTCCTTGGAAAAGAGCTTTTATATCACTGATTCCGAAGGAAGATCAGGATCTTACAGAGCCAAAGAATTATAGGCCAATTTCATTATTAAATGTTGATTATAAGATCTTTACAAAAATTCTTGCAAATAGACTAATGCAGGTTATGAAAAATTTGATTCATAGTGATCAAGCAAGATTTATAACAGGGAGATATATGAAACATAATGTTAGACAAATTATTAATTTAATTGAGTACTTGGATAAGAATAATCAGATTCCTGTGGCTTTTATCTTTTGGATGCTGAAAAAGCTTTTGATCAATTGGACTGGCAATTTTTATTCTCTTTGGTAGAGAAAATGAATTTTGGGGATAATTTTTTACATGCACTTAAAGCTATATATCAGCAGCAATCTGCACAAATTGTTGTAAACGGGGGATTGACTGAGAATTTTAATATTCAAAAAGGGACAAGACAAGGATGTCCATTATCCCCATTGTTATTTGTTTTAACATTGGAAATTTTATTGATTCAGATTCGGGAATCAAAGTTAATCAAGGGTGTAAAGATAAGGAAGAACGAGTATAAATTGCAGGCATTTGCGGATGATTTGGTTTTAATTTTGGAACAACCGAATCAGGCGATTGACAGTTTATTAGAACTTATAACACAGTATGGGAATGTTTCTGGTTTTAAAGTTAATAATTATAAGACTAAGATATTATCTAAGAATATGTCAGTTAAAGACAGGGAAAGTTTGATTAAAGCCACAGGTTTTCAGATGGTAAAAAAGGTTAAATATTTGGGAGTATATCTAACTGCTTCAAATGGAAAATTGTACAAGAACAATTATGAACCACTATGGGTAAAAGTTCAAAAGGACTTAAGAGATTGGAAAAAATTGCAATTGTCATTGTTGGGGAGAATTTCAGCCGTAAAAATGAATGTTCTACC